AAGTTTTGGTAATTGGTGCAAAGCATACTGCTGATCATGGTGAAACAGGTCTGCAATGTGCCGAAACAATAGATATTGACCATCATTCCACATGTACCGACTACACGATCCTGACCCAGAGTTATAGAGGCAGTTTCTGGCAGTTTTGATCAAATGAGGCACATCTGCAAAGAAATAGATCATTCGAGCCAGGAAGAAGAGGTTGGGTGTCTTGTAAACAAGACCATCTGGTAGTGTGCCGCCAAGCTTTGAGTGGAGTGCAAAGAGTTTCCGGTTAGGGGAAGCACCGTCATTAACAGCTGCTATTATCCATAATTTTACTGTTGTTTCAAGCACTCCAACTACTTTCCAAAACAATGGAAGCAACTGAAATGATGTCACATTGCCAGTAAAATAATAGGCAACAACATGCTTCAAATTAGTGCAAAGCCCCCTAACCAAGAAAGCCAGTGCATGGGATGCAATAGGGGTTTCTTCATCTACATTGGCATAGGTCGTTAATGGATCTCCAAGATCAATGAAACCGATCAGTTCACCGGAGGTTTTGTCAAAAACAAGATTTTCCTGAATTTTCATCTCGTCCATGACGACTGCAACATACTTTTGGATCCCAGTAAATTTTGAAGTTTGCTCTTTCAATTCTTCAATGTTTTCTTTAATGATGCCAGCTCCAGGTTTAAAATAGTTCTTGTAATCTCGAAGAACACGCTCACTTGGTAATATTAGAGCTCCACTGTCTCTAAGCTCCCGATATGCAGAAGGAGATTTGCAATGTATTGATAGTGCAAATCGTATCATTTGTGGATAATACCTACGGCCCATTTTCTTGGTTTTCAGGAGGTGAATTTGTTGTTCCCAGAAGAACTTCATGTGTGGGGTGGAATCTAGATTCTGTCCGCTCATGATGGTCATCAGATCCTTTTCAAGGGGCTCACTCACACTCACAGCACTCTTTTCTATTTTATCTTGCAGCTTTTTCATTTTATCTTCCAATTGTTTACACTCCAAACGCTTAGCTACCACTGTTGCTCTAAGTTTTTCTGAGCTACAGGCAGTCAATGGAGCTTTAGCTTTAGCAGGGGCACTAGAAGAACGACTCTTTCGATTTTGTTGCACCAAAATATTCTTTTGTAACTTCTTGCATGGATCACAAATCACTTGCTCTTCATCAACTTGTCTGCCGAGTAATAGCTGGCAATCTACACAACGAAAAACTACCAGAACTCCAAAATTTGAATCCATATCGACTCTGTTTGGAATAGAATGCCGCATAACATCAGAATTGCTGAAGGACGTATGGCTCGCGTCACCTGGATCTTTAGCAATAGATTGTACATGCTGATCTTGGCGTAATCCTTCGCAAATGAGATATTTTTCACCTTTGATAGCTTCCAAAAAGTCAACAACTCTAGCAGAGTCCATTCGTCGTCGGTGCGTAGTGTATAAAGGATGGATATCAGGTAGCAGCCAATTGTAAACATGTAGCGAAAACTGCAAGCCCGAATCAACATGTAGAATGTATCTTGGAATCGAGTAACTGGAATCCCAAAGTTCTATTCTAATCTCCGTGTTGTTGCACGTTGTGATGACCCATGGATCTGGTATCTTTTCTTTTATCTTACTGGCAAACTCTTCCAGGCTTTCATCGGAAATTAAATCCGCACTTGTCATCTCAACGGGTGGCGAACCTTCTGATGTCGAGCAAGCTTCCGCGGTATTCTGTCGCACAAGAGGCCGTCGTGTTTTTGGCTTCGACTCATGACTTTTTAACGGGAGGTTTTCCGTAGGAACAGCACCAGTTGCTAAGGACTTTCTTTTCGCATCTGAAAAAGAATTGAAAGTAAACTATAAACAGTTTGCACAATGTTTATCCTACAGTTAATAACAACTGATATTTTAATACATGTAAATGATATACGAAGTGTCTAATTACCATAAATTTGCGCAAAATTGAGAGGTCAATACTTACGTTGAAAAATCACTTCAGGTTTAAAATGGCGTTCACACAAAAAGATAGTGTTTTTTTCAATCTTCGTCTTCAGCTGTGGTGTCATTTCCCTTGTCCTACGAATTACTCGAAGCCATTCTTTACGCGCATCCGTCTTTAATTTCACCGTGACCTCGGAGTCACCTTGCCCGGCAAAAGGCAATTTAAATAGTGAAAGATCACTCTTTCGACTAGTTGAGCACCCCACTAAAGCACAGTTGGCACCTGGCATTGTGTGCCAGCTGTAAAACTCTGAAAATTAGCGACCCAGTGAGTATAACGTTGCAGTTTTCGAACAGAAATACGTTGCGGCAATACAAAGCTCTATTGTTTTTGACTTGTGATTTAACACCCCATGCACTAAAAAGATCACGTGACCCAAATAACTGAGAACAATAACATAATTGGGGGCGTGTCCGGCTAGCCAAACCATCTTATTTTATTAACTGTGGTAGTCTACATTAGCATCTTGAGACTGTGAAAAACGGTCGATGGAATTTATCACATCAAAAATTGCCTGTAGCAAGTATTGTTTGTCTTCTTCCTCCATTTTGAAAACATAATAAATGAGCCCGCGAACAACAAAGACATTGGATTGCGTTTGGGTATCAAAAGTTGGTCTTCAAAAGTTGGTCTTCAAAAAATAAGTTGTATTTTCAACCGATAAACCGGTGATCTTCAAAAACAATGTTGTTATTTTAATGAAATGAATATGATCCTCAAAATATCATATAATGAAATGCAAAAGTTGATTTTTGGCGGACATGGGACACCATAGCCATGGTTTTACTGCTGACCTCTATATAATATGTGTACAGGCATAAAATCGACAACTTCAGTTGATGTCGACAAGAAGGTTGTGACCAAATCATGCATCATATGTATAGGATGTAGATATAGTAGGTAAGGACTGTCCAATTTGTCCAAAGTATAAATTTATTACTGCAAAATTATACATTAGAATCACGTACTGCATTTAAAGACCTGTCTCTTTCAAACTTTATGCTTTCAGAATCAGTTAAGTTTATATACTCTACACAGCCAGAAATCTCACAGGCCTGTCGCAAGCTGTTGATTTTACCGGCTTGCGGCAAGTTGTCAACAAGTCGCGACAGGTCTGTTGGTTTCGTCAGGCGGTAACAGGCTTGCGGTAACAGGTCTGTCGCAAGCTGTTGACAACAGAGCCATAGCGACTTGTTGAAACAACCCGCTACAAACCTGTTACTAACAAGAGATAACAGGTCTGATAGAACAATTTGCAGCAAGTCTGTTGAAATCAACAGGTCTGTTCCAACCTGTTCCAACAGACCTGTCGCGAGTTGTTTTTGTCAAGTCTGCAGCAAGATTGTTATCAGACCTGCGACAAACCTGTCCACAACAAACAATTTTTGTCCTGTCACAACAAGTTTCAACAAGCCTGTTGTAGGGAAACAAATCGAAAATGTGAGTAAAGAGATATAAAATCACACGAAATGGACACTTCCGGCTTCACTTTCTCATTTAATCATTGTCATTGGTGGCAATATTAAATCACATAGGAGAGATTATAGTCCATAGTATCTATTCTCTGATTATTATAAAATGCAAAAGCCGCTGTTTTATTTTTTTTTAAAAAGTTCCGATTTCCAAAATCCAAATTCCAATTTGCTGACGTGTGCTATCGCTATATTTCTTTAATCTGATTGGATAAACGCGTGTGCACACGTCATCAGTCCTCGTTGCAATTGGGCGAAATATTACAAACATATCAATCACGTAATCATGTTTAGTTGTTTTTCAATTTTGAGCCAAACAAAATTTCAACGGCTATTAGTAAAACCAGGAACACCGGAACAACGGAACACCGGAACACGGAACACCGGAACAGCATCATTCCGGAACACGGAACACCGGAACACTAAAAATTCTTAATTTGTTAAAAATTCGAAAAAAAATTACCGGGGGGTGTGTGAAATTATTGCTGGAAAAATTATTGCGTAAAACATGCTTTTTAATAATATTCTGACTTGCCGATAAATTACGAACTGAAATCAGTCTCAAATTAATAAATATTTGCCAGAAAAGAAGAAATCAAATTGTTATTTGTTAACAATAAATGGCTATCTTTCAGTTGTTGTTGAAAACATGACCTTTGCCTTTGGCCGGCTTTCGGTCAATATTAACAGACAATATTGTAACAACAGTTGATTGGCTTCCTTGTTTTTACAAACTTACTTATGAAGTTGAAAAGGATAATTTTCATCTCTCGTTCAAAGTTTGCCTTTACTTTAGCATCACTTACAATTCTTTAATATACGTAATAGCAACTTGATCTTTCTCACACAACACATAAGCAGCAATGGAAGGGAAACTTTTAGCGTGATAATAACCTTTCGCCGTTTCGGCCAATCAAAACGGACAAAAATACAAACAAATGTAGGCCTTGTAAGTCATAGCTATATTCCTATAAATAATATTTCAACGCACGTGTGTAGGCCTACTTTGGGGGCCAAGGTCGCCGTTATTATGTGCAACATTGTGCGACATTAGGCGACATTGGCAATTTTCAAAGAAATGTAGTGTGCGTCGCTGGGCGAAACTGGGCGACATTGAGCGACATTAGGCGACATTGGACAAAACTGAACAGTAATATCCAGATAACGTCAAAAATTATAATTCACAAATTATGCATCTACATAGAAAATACAACAGTATCTATCAAAATATAATTTAGTTATCCAAAATTGGTTCCTGTGGCAAAGAACACAATTAGTTTATTACAAATAACAAAAATAACAAGGAACATTTCTCTAACTGCTAGCCTGACAATTTACAATTTACTGACAAGTTTATACCGTAGTACACATACATGCCCAGTGCATGGTACATTTACAGTATCATGGAACTCTGACTTCTTATTAAATTGACTGGTGTAAACACCTCATAGAGTTTTAAAACCTGTTTATGGACTGTCTTATGCAGTGATGGAAGTGAAAGAATTGGCATTTAAGGTAAATAAATTGTCAGCTAGCTAGCTATCATAAACGTGTACAATGTAAATCATGTACCACCATAACCATACTTGAAATCTAACCCACCAAACTGGCAAACAAATATCTCAAATAGTGATAACTATAAATCTTATAGTTTCAATAAAAAATGGAACTTACTTTCAAAGCAAACAGATAGAAAAAAGTTTAATCCATATACATTTGTATAACTATACTGACTTACTTTACTAAAATTAGATGACAGTTCCTTTACTTTATAAACTGAACTAATAAATAATTAAATTCCTTTTATCCAAAACCTCAGACACCTGTTCTTGTTCGGCTGGGATTTGAGCCCGCAATACCACGGCACATCTAATTTAATGGTTTAGCTTCTAACTTGTACTACTTCGTGTAAGGAAGCATAATAATTGATTATGGCGGGCTTTGGCGACATTTTATAACAACCTGTACCGTAGATCTTTCTGTGGTGCGTTCATTGCTCTGTATCTTTTGCGATGATACCTAATTATGAGATGTCGATCATCGTAGCTTCGTCGAAAAGTAAGTACTTTTATTTTACAAACTACAAAGTCGTATTGGGCTATTCCATTTAATATCCGTACCCCCTACCTCCTGTCGAGGATCCCTGGAATTCTTCAGGGGTAAAGGGTTTTGAGCTTGGAATTCTTCAGGGGTAAAGTGTTTTGAGCTTGGAATTCTTCAGGGCTAAAGTGTTTTGAGTTTGGAATTCTTCAGGGGTAAATGGTTTTGAGCTTGGAATTCTTCAGGGGTAAAGGGTTTTGAGCTTGGAATTCTTCAGGGGTAAAGAGGTTTGAGATTGAAATTTTTCAGAGCTTGGAATTCTTCAGGGGTGAAGGGTTTTGAGCTTGGAATTCTTCAGGGGTAAAAGGTTTTGAGCTTGAAATTCTTCAGGGGTAAAGGGTTTTGAGCTTGGAATTCTTTAGGGGTGAAGGGTTTTGAGCTTGGAATTCTTTAGGGGTGAAGGGTTTTGAGCTTGGAATTCTTCAGGGGTAAAAGGTTTTGAGCTTGGAATTCTTCAGGGGTAAAGAGTTTTGAGCTTGGAATTTTGGAATTCTTCAGGGGTAAACAGTTTTGAGCTTGGAATTCTTCAGGGGTATGACAATGAAAAACATGTATCCTCGACAGGGGGGGGGGGTACGGATATTAAATGGAATAGCCCATTTTGAACATACTATAGATGACTTTCTTTATTTATAGTCTATATATATATATATATATATATATATATATATATATATATATATATATATATATATACTACCGACGGTACCGTTTCGGCCTTTAGGATACCTAGTGTCCTTCACTAGGCTAGTGAGAGGTATTCTGTACTTTTGCACTCGCCAGTTATCATGAATGTGTCTTTGATAATAAGATCTAAGTTTGATTTCATATACAACATTTAATGGCGTGTGATCGACTAATTTGACTGAGTTTCACAAAGAAACACATTGGAGAAGATAGCCAGAAGGCTGCCTTAACAACATAATTTAGGTCATTCTCATTGGAATAATGTGTTGTAGTTCATATACATATAAACGCCAAATAACCAAGCCTCATTAATGCTGGTGAGAGATGGTGCCCTAACAGCACATGCCCTTTGTGTTTGTGTACATATATTAATTTATGAAAAAAACATGCAGGAAACTAACAAATAAATAAGGAATAGACTAGTATGGACGACAAACTCAAAGTGCAAAATTGGGCATGCTTGTGTGAGATTATGCAACATTAGGCGAAATTAGGCGACATTAAGCGAATAGACTGTCAGTCAAAGTTCAAAACTTAGGTGCACATGGGCGAAAGTGGGCGAAAGTGGGCGAAAGTGGGCGAAATTAGGCGACCCTGGCCCCCAATGTAGGCCTGTGTGTCTATTTCTGTATGTTTATTCGACTGTAAATTAAATTGACACTCACTTACGTTAGGGAACGTTTTACATTTGGAGATTTAGTACAAGTAAATATCCTACGACTCTAGTCTCTATCCGCGTTTTCGCTTGCCCTGAGATTCATAGTAGGCGGCCCTCCCCCATAGTATGTTATGCCATACTAGCCGGCCTACAATATATTTATAAAAGGTCACAGGCGACGCGGTACTGATATATAGCACGAAAGATTATTCCATATATACTAAATTATGCCCTTTTAATATAGGATGCGCCATTTTTATATGTATAAACAATAAGTTGATTTTACAACTTGTATTTGAAATTGATATTTTGAACGAATATTAATATCTCGGCCTCATCACAGATGCTAAAATTAATGATCTTCATTATTTTTAAATTTGTTTTCCATTTTTATATACTCAATGCCAATGGGCGGAAGTTGAAAATTGCACATCTACCTTTCAAATGCAAGTTGTAAATTCAACTTATTGTATTTATGCCCCGTCGCGTGTGACCTTTTTATATATTATGTTTGCTATATCATTCTAGCCGGCCTACAATGAATCTCATGCAGGGCAAGCCAAAACTCGGATATAGTCATACAACACTACTCGTAGGCCTACTAAATTTCCAAGTGCACAAAATTAGCTACTGAATTGAGGGTCAGCTAATAAATTTTAAACACAGTGAAATAGACAAATAGACACACATGCGTTGAAATATTATTTAAGCTATGACTTACAAGGCCTACATTTGTTTGTATTTTTGTCCGTTTTGATTGACCGAAACGGCGAAAGGTTATTATCACGCTAAAAGTTTCCCTTCCATCGCTGCTTATGTGTTGTGTGAGAAAGATCAAGTTGCTATTACGTATATTAAAGAATTGTAAGTGATGCTAAAGTAAAGGCAAACTCTGAACGAGAGATGAAAATTATCCTTTTCAACTTCATAAGTAAGTTTGTAAAAACAAGGAAGCCAATCAACTGTTGTTACAATATTGTCTGTTAATATTGACCGAAAGCCGGCCAAAGGCAAAGGTCATGTTTTCAACAACAACTGGAAGATAGCCATTTATTGTTACCAAATAACAATTTGATTTCTTCTTTTCTAGCAAATATTTATTAATTTGAGACAGATTTCAGTTCGTAATTTATCGGCAAGTCAGAATATTATTAAAAAGCATGTTTTACGCAATAATTTTTCCAGCAATAATTTCACACACCCCCCGGTATTTTTTTTTCGAATTTTTAACAAATTAAGAATTTTTAGTGTTCCGGTGTTCCGTGTTCCGGAATGATGCTGTTCCGGTGTTCCGTGTTCCGTTGTTCCGGTGTTCCTGGTTTTACTAATAGCCAATTTCAACAACTGCCTCAAACAAAATCAAAAAAGTTCAAAGCTGTTTTGATTTTTGAAGAAACTGTGGCAATGAGAATACAAGATCTACTAGAGCTTAAGAAATGAACAATACATGAACAACCGAGTGTTAACTGCAACGTTCGTCATTGTTGATATGAACATGAAATTCGTTATATAATTTCTTTCCAATTTCAAGTGAAATCTGCGAGCGAGGAAGACGCCTTATTGAAGCTTTGTGTTATGGTATGTACTGTTTTGAAGAAAAATATGCAAGTAGGTTGTCATATTTCGGTCGTACTTAAAGACAATTAATTACCTTCTTGAATTTGTCGTATTTTTCGGCTGTTTTGCTCAAAAATTATCTCGCAAGTTTGTTTATAAAACTTTAAATTCATATATAAAAATTATTTCGCAAGTTTGTTTATAAAACTTTATATTCATATATAAAAATTATTTCGCAAGTTTGTTTATAAAACTTTATATTTCAAACTTCTATTTCACGAAACACTACAACCGAAATGTGGCAACCTCTTTGGCCGTTTTTTGTTCAAAATAGTGGATACATGCACAAGCTTCATAAGGCGCTTTCCTCGGTTTGCAACAGGTCTGTCGCAAGTTGTTGAAAACAGCATTGCTGCAGCTCTGTGTCAACAACTTGCGACAGGCCTGTTGAAAACAGCATTGCTGCAGCTCTGTCACAACAGCTTTTAACAGACCTGTTGAAAACAGCATTGCAGCAGCTCTGTTACAACAGCTTGTAACAGACCTGTTGAAAACAGCATTGCAGCAGCTCTGTCACAACAGCTTGTAACAGACCTGTTGACAGGCCGTTGCAGGTCTGTCAGAACAGACAGGTACAAGGCGAGCGAACGCATCCAGATATCGGCTTGTTGACAACAGGATTTAACAGATATATCTGTTGCAGATCTGTTCCGACTTGCGCGTTTCTGGCTGTGTAGTATATTGCTATTTGATGAAGCCATATTTTAGTATTTATTTTGAGGAAGGTTTGAAATTTTACCAGGAGGAAATTTGAACAGGTTTTGCAACTCTGGGACAGGAATATTCGAACGGAAATTTACACACTTTTTAACTAGTACTCAGTTGTGTGTGAGAAGGCAAAAATCTATGTCTATGTGTTTCAGGTAGTCTAGCAACTATTTGCACGTTTACTGTAATACTACCACTAGCAAGTGATGAACCAGGCGGGAATCGTAATCGTAGTATAAAGATTAATGCCCAGTCGCAATAATATAGACATAAATATATACATAAAGTTATTATAAAGTATTATAGATTATCGTAAAGTAATCAGTACTACCAATTAATAATGTATCATACATTCGTATTTTATAAAGTATGATGACTATGAGAGTTTTCGTGTTCACTATGGCTGAATACATTTATGAAAAGCTAAAACTGACACAGACAAAATACATTGTAAACACAGCCTATTTAGGCAGGCGCTAAACCGGTGTAAACTATTATGCAAAGATGAACAATACTGTCATTAGTATTTTTGCGCAAGTGAATAAATATATAACAAATCCTACAAGTTGTCAAGTTGATTGGCGAATTTGACAAATTCCCCGATAATCACGGCCTCGCCTTTGGCGAATAATTGTTCAAAGCCAAAGGCGCAATAATAATCGCGTGTAGTTTATACTTAACGTGATATATAGTTTCTCAATATACTTTTGTCACAATTGTTTCTATAAATCTATTATATATACGATCATAGACAATCCAGAAGACATGTCTTCTGGATTGTCTATGATACGATAAAGAAGAAGTTCTGCAGTATTAACTGTACTATACATACTATAAATACGAATATTATAATAAAATTTAAATATTAAATAAAAAATATTACTGAGATGATCCTGTTATCCCACAGGCTATATCTATGAAATTGCACTGGTATACCTATAAACTGATAGTATTTTTTACCTTGAATATTATATCATGCACAAATTTTCGTTCTCTGTTTAGATTTTAATTAATCATAATTATACGAAAATCTTAAAAATATAATTTCAAAATCGAAAGTCCATAGTCCAAAGTCCAGTCCAGTGTTTACAATATATATATTTTTTTTGCTGATTCGCCCAAGATATTGATATTGCACATAAAAGAAATAAACTATTTACAAGAAATGGGCTAGGAGCCTACTAGAAACCATATGGCTTTTTGTCAGTTTAGGCCCCTATGTTACAAATTTAAACTAATTAGCAAAATAATATGCAGCATCAGTTCGAGTGCCTCTGAGGAGAAAGGAAAAAGAATAGTTAAATATTATATATGATAGTAAGCTATATTTACAATTCAATTTTTGATTTATAGTTTTTAATAATTTAATATGCCAATGCAATACGCGTAGTATTTCATCAGACATCTGCACTACATTATAAATACTGTACAAGGAAAACTACAGCTTAAATAATAGTAGACGTTTCTTAGTGTTTTGTCAGGAAACATCACAACTCACGTCGACACGGCTTTCGAGTTTTGTATTAAACCGGCCGAGCCGAAAGTAAATCATGCAGTCGGAAAACGTCTTTAATACTTTGAAAGATTATTTTGCAAAATATACACGTACACACAAGGATCATAAAAATACAAATGTTGAATTGTTATTGTCAACTGTCAAGTTCAGTTATTTTTAGACAAATCGTGTTAGCCAATCGGAATGCACAGGGCTTTCTCGTCTCGCCCCTCGTCCTCACACGAAAGCCCCAGGAACGAGGTTGATCTTTTACATCATCTTTCCTTATAAAATTGTATCGAACTATATAGAACTACAGAGAACCATAAAACATCAACTATTAGAACTCCGTGGAATCATAGAACCATTGAACCTTTGTAACATAGAATTATAACCAGGGGTATCAGAACTAAAAATTGATATTTAATTAAGAAAACCTGTAAGAAAACAGGCCATCCTGGGAATGAGGTGCGATCACACCATAGATATCTTATATAAACTAGATAGCGCAGAATATTCCAGCGCCACGGCACGGCCGCAGAGAGGGGGCGGCAGGGGGGCAAATTGCCCCGGGCCCCGAGGTGCTGGGGGCCCCTGAAAAATTTTTGTTGGGCCCCAGTTTTTTTTGTGTGTGTTAAATATTTCCGCGCAAAGGACAAGATATCTGTTTTTCGGGCAAACTACCGAAATTTGAACCAAAAAAATGAGATAAAGTCCCTGGAAAGCAATTGCAACGTCTCGTCCGGAAAAATTTTTGACCCCTAAAATGGTACACTGACCGAAATATTTTTGGCGACGGGGGGGGG